TCATTTTATTTGTCTCAGCCCACTGTTCCAGCCTGTCTAGATCGTTTTGAATCCTGACTCTGTCTTCTTCAGAATTAGCAATCCCACCTAACTTTGTGTCATCTGCCGATTTGATAAGCATCCCCTCTAGGTCTTCCTCCGGGTCATTTATAAAAACATTGAACAACACCGGGCCTAGGACTGAGCCCTGCGGCACTCCACTCGAGACAACATGGAAAGGAGATTGTAAGCCACTCTGAGACTCCAAGTGAAGGGCGGGGTATAAATCCAATCTCTTCTTCTTCTTCTCTTCCCCCACCCCTAGGCTCCACCCCCAAATCCCCAGGAATTTTCCTACCGGAAGCTGTCAACCCTAGCTGTGCCTCTTGACAAAAGAGTTGCAGGAATAACAGATCAGGTAACAACCTCAGAGAGATAGATAGATAACCTTTATTGGCATGTGAACGGCCTCAGAGATCATCTTTTCCTGGCAAACTAGGCAAAATTGGATTTATAGCAAAGCGGGGGACCCAAAGGGGGCTATGTCGTTCTCCTCTCCAGTTCAGTCTCACAACAACCCTGCGAGGAAGGTTAGGTTGAGAATCCGTGCCTGGCTCTAGGTCTGTCAGCCGCTTTCAGTGGCAAAGTGGGGACTGAAACCTGGCCCTCTGAGAACCTAGTCAGACACTATCCACTCGGCCACGCTGCCTCAGATAGTTAAGGCTGTTGCTTCAACAACCCTCTGTTTTGCCGAGGAGGGGGCGTTTTTCACCCTCCCTACTTTTCTGTGCTGCCTTTCATCCCAACAGAGTCCCAGAGGGCCTCGCGTTTTTCTCTCCTGATTTCGTCCTCACAATAGCCCTTTGCGGTAGGTCTGGGTGAGAGCATGTGACTGGGCCAAAGTCACCCAACAACATTCTGTGGCACGGGGGGGGGGGGGGCTTCACACCTGGATCTCCTTCATCGTTATCTGACATTCTAACCACTACAGCCTAAAGGCTCGGATAAATTAGAGAAGGGGGGAACATGATAGAGGTTTATAAAATCATGCCTGGGGTGGAGAGAGTTGGCGAAGAATTTTTTCCCCTCCCCCTTCCCAAATACTAGAACTCGAGCGTATCCAATGAAACTGATGGGCAGTAGGTTCAGGACAGACAAAAGGAAATACTTCTTTACACAGAGAGTGAGTAAGACATGGAAGTCGCTTTATTAAAACTATAAGGTGTATAAGAGAAATTAATTTTTTAACTACAGTATGAGGTCAATGACAACATGGAAGAAATGATACATACAAGGAATCGTCCCCTTTTCATGCTTTGATGTCTCTATGTGATGTTTGCTTTATATGTAAGAAATAAAAAACTTTATTAAAAAAAAACATGGAGGTCTCTGCCAGAGGGCATATTGATGGCAACAGGAACAAACAGCTTTAAAAGGGGATTTGATAGAATCATGGAGAATATGGCTATCAATGGCTACTAGCCGTGGTGACTGAGGGGAACCTCCACATTCAGAGGCACTAATCCTCTGAACCCCAGAGCCAGGAGGCAACATCAGGGCCTCTATGCCCTATTGTTGGCCGGCGAGAGGAACTGATTGGCCACTGTGTGAGACAAGATGCTGGACTAGATGGACCACTAGTCTGATCCAGCAGGGCTCATCTTATCTTCGTATGTTACCATGACAAAATATAAATGCACAGATTGGTCCTTATAGACTCTTGATGGCTCTCCATTCTAAATGTTTGTTAGTTTACTCAGAAAGGTTTAAGAAAATGCATCTTCTCTGTGACATTTATTTTTGTAACAGTTTAAAAGGTTAGGAACAATGTATCCACTTTTAAAACATCAGAGTTCAGATGCTTGCTGGTATGCATCCTTCAATGTGTTTCATTTGGCTTCACTTCTAGATCACCCCCAGGATCTTAAGCATTCACGTAACACAATCGTTTGAACTGTAATTGCTGGAAAGTGATGCTTGCAACTAAATTGTATGCCTGCACAAGAGCAGCTTCTACTTCAGGTCTGGCCTTTCAGAGATTAAAGTGGACGTCTTGGGAAAGTTCTCTGGAAGAGACATGGGGTCAGTAACCAAAGAACCGTACAATCTGTTCTTGAGTAGCATCTCTGCACGAAAGTGGTTTGGTTTACAGCACATGCAGTTCAAATGGAGGAAAAGTAGAAATAATCCCACTAGGTATGTCCTAAACCCTTGGGTAGGCCTAAAATAGCTTTATGCATCCAGACTGTGCACTAGCCTCAAGCTTGGAGCTCTGCAGATCAGAGAAGAGGCCTGAACACATATCTGTGTGCAGGACCAATGCAGACAGAAAGGAGACAGGAATGAGCATGCTATATTTAATCACAGAATCACACAGAGTTGGAAGGGGCCATACAGGTCAACTAGTCCAACCCCCTGCTCAGTGCAGGATCCCTGACAAGTGTTTGTCCAGCCGCTGCTTAAAGACTGTCAGTGAGGGGGAGCTCATTCAGGAGGGGTGTTGGAAGACCTGAGTCAGATTGAGGTGATGAGAGAGGAGGTCCTAAAACTGATAGACAACTTAAAAACTGAAAAATCACCAGGCCCAGATGGCATACATCCGAGAGTTCTGAAAGAACTCAAATGTGAACTTGTAGATCTCCTGACAAAGATATGTAATCTTTCCTTAAAATCTGCCTCCATTCCTGAGGATTGGAAGGTAGCTAATGTCACTCCCATCTTTAAAAAGGGTTCCAGAGGAGATCCGGGAAATTACAGGCCAGTCAGTCTGACGTCGATACCGGGTAAATTGGTGGAAACCATTATTAAGGAAAGAATTAGTAGGCACATAGATGAACAAAACCTATTGAGGCAGACTCAGCACGGTTTCTGTAAGGGAAGATCTTGTCTCACTAACCTGTTAGTGTTCTTTGAGGGGGTGAACAAACATGTGGACAAGGGGGATCCAATAGATATTATTTACCTTGACTTCCAGAAAGCTTTTGATAAAGTTCCTCATCAAAGGCTCCTAAGTAAGCTCAAAAATCATGGGATAGAAGGACAAGTCCTTTTATGGATCAAAAACTGGCTAGTTCATAGAAAACAGAGAGTGAGTGTAGGTGGGCAATTTTCTCAGTGGAGGGTGGTAAGCAGTGGGGTACCGCAGGGATCAGTACTTGGTCCACTGCTTTTTAACTTGTTCATTAATGATTTGGAGATGGGAGTAAGCAGTGAAGTGGCTAAATTTGCGGATGATACAAAGTTGTTCGGGGTGGTGAAAACCAGTGAGGATTGTGAGGCACTCCAAGGGGATCTGTCAAGGATGGGCGAGTGGGCGTCAACATGGCAAATGGGGTTCAATGTGGCCAAGTGCAAGGTGATGCACATTGGAGCCAAAAATCCTAAATATAAATACACATTGATGGGGTCTGAACTGGCTGAGACTGAGCAAGAGAGAGATCTTGGAGTTGTAGTGGATAACTCACTGAAAATGTTGAGACAGTGTGTGACTGCAATAAAGAAGGCCAATGCTATGCTGGGGATTATTAGGAAGGGTATTGAAAACAGATCAGCCAATATAATAATGCCCCTATATAAATCAATGGTGAGACCTCATTTGGAATACTGTGTGCAGTTCTGGGCACCACACCTTAAAAAGGATATTATAGCTTTGGAAAAAGTGCAGAAAAGGGCAACTAGAATGATAAAAAGGTTGGAACACTTTCGCTTGGGGCTCTTTAGCTTGGAGAAACGACGGCTGAGGGGTGACATGATCGAGGTTTATAAGATTATGCATGGGATAGACCAGGTCGAGAAAGAAGTCCTTTTCTCCCTTTCTCAGAATACAAGAACTCGTGGGCACTTCATGAAATTGCTGAGCGGTCGGGTTAGAACAGATAAAAGGAAGTCCTTCTTCACTAGTGGATAACTCACTGAAAATGTTGAGACAGTGTGTGACTGCAATAAAGAAGGCCAATGCTATGCTGGGGATTATTAGGAAGGGTATTGAAAACAGATCAGCCAATATAATAATGCCCCTATATAAATCAATGGTGAGACCTCATTTGGAATACTGTGTGCAGTTCTGGGCACCACACCTTAAAAAGGATATTATAGCGTTGGAAAAAGTGCAGAAAAGGGCAACTCGAATGATAAAAGGGTTGGAACACTTTCCCTATGAGGAAAGGTTAAGGCGCTTAGGGCTCTTTAGCTTGGAGACAAGAGCGCTGTTCTTGAAAAAGAGCAGTTTCTGTCAAGAGCTCACTCAGCCCCACCTACCTCACAGGGTGTCTGTTGTGGGGAGGGGAAGGGAAAGGAGATTGTAAGCCGCTCTGAGACTCCTTTGGGTAGTGAAGGGCAGGGTATAGATCCAATCTCTTCTTCTTCTTTAAAAACTATCAGTTCGATACTAATATACTAGTATAGCCTGATAGACTAATCAACTGGCAATTAAAAAAAAAGAACTAAACTGACCCCCCACACACACTCATACACTTGGGGAAGGAAAAACAGTCACCACTGGAGGAGGAGAATTTGAAACGGCAGCCATCCCCACCTTGGTTTCAAAATTCAACTTCACCCCAATGCAGCTTTGGGCAAGAGAAAAGCCAGGGGAAACTCCGACAGATGTCCAAGGCAGTGTTCCCTCTAAGCTGAGTTAGTGTGAGCTAGCTCACAGAGAGCCAGTTTGGTGTAGTGGTTAAGTGCACGGACTCTAATCTGGGAGAACCGGGTTTGATTCCCCCACTCCTCAACTTGCCCCTGGATGACCTTGGGCAAGCCGTGGTTCTGATAAGAGCTGTTCTTGAAAAAAGAGCAGTTTCTATCAAGAGCTCTCTCAGCCCCACCTCCCTCACAGGGTGTCTGTTGTGGGGAGGGAAAGGGAAAGGAGTTTGTAAGCCGCTCTGAGACTCCTTTGGGTAGCGAAGGGCGGGGTATAAATCCAATCTCTTCTCTCCCTTATTTTTATATGATTTCTCTTGCTGATAGATTTTCTGCTGTGATAGCCACTAGGGGCTCTTTCCATATTCCAAATATTTCAAGGAGCTGTGACTCAGTGGTAGAGCATCTGCTTGTCGTGCAGAAGGCCCCAGGTTCAATTCCTGGCAACTTCAGTTAAAAAGGGGTAATGTAGGAGGTGATGTGAAAGACCTCTGCCTGAGACCCTGGAGAGCCACCACCGATCAGAATAGACAAGTATTCTCCACTGTGTGAATTCTTCCATTTCATTAACGTGTGGATTACTTCATCTCCAGTAAACTGTGAGCAGTGTTCCCTCTAAGCTGAGTTAGTGTGAGCTAGTTCATGGTTTTCTGGCCTCCAGCACACACATTTTTGTCTTAGCTCAGGCAGGATGGCTCCAGAGCAAACTAATTCATGCAGTAGCCAAATGGCTCGCTCACAGCTTTAATGCCAGTAGCTCACAAAGTAGAATTTTTGCTCACAAGACTCCACAGCTTTGAGGGAGCATTGACTGTGAGTCTTCCCGACAAAAGTTTTTCCACATTTGGGGCATTTCTATGGTTTTTGTCTTTCATGGTAAACAAAGCCTGAGCCAATGTCCCCTCTAAGGTGTGGAGTCTTGTGAGCAAGAATTCTACTTTGTGAGCTACTGGCATTAAAGTTGTGAGCGAGCAATTTGGCTACTGCATACATTAGTTTGCTCTGGAGCCATCCTTCCTGAGCTGAGACAAAAATGTGTGAGCCGGAGGCTAAAAAACTGTGAGCTAGCTCACAGTAACTCAGCTTAGAGGAAACACTGGTTGGGACTGAAATTTTTCCACACTTAGGATTTAAATGGTATGAGCCTGATGTAGATTTTTTGATGGCCAGTAAGACCCAGCTCTGAAAGCATTTATATGGATTCTTTGGACAGAAAAAAGAGGATTGTTCCAATGAAAGCTCTTTCCACAGTCCATGCATTTATTTTGTGTCCCCAGTGTGGATTACTCACGCTACTAAGCTGAGAGCTCCAAGTAAAACACTTTCCATTAACTGATCATTTACATGGCTTCTCTCCTATGTGGGCTCTTTGATGATGAGTAAGCTGGTCCTTCTTTCTGAAGCTCTTCCCACATTCTGAGCATGTGTGTGGTTTTTCTCCTGTATGAACTCTTTTATGGTAATTGAGGCCTGAGCTGTCACTGAAGCTTTTCCCACATTCTGAACATTTATAAGGTTTTTCACCTGTGTGGATTCTTTGATGGCTGGTAAGAAAGTCCTTCAATCTGAAGCTCTTTCCGCACTCTAAGCATGTATAGGGTTTCTCCCCTAAGTGGATCCCAAGATGGGAAGTAAGATTTGTTATGCGTCTGAAATTTCTTCCACATTCTAAGCATTTATAAGGTTTCTCTCCCGTGTGAATTCTTCGATGAGAAGTCAGATGGCCCTTATTTCTGAAGCTTTTCCCACATTCTGAGCACGCAAATGGTTTTTCTCCTGTGTGGATTCTTTGATGGTAAGTAAAGCCTGAAATATTACTGAAGCTTTTCCCGCATTCTGAGCATACATATGGTTTCTCTCCTGTGTGGATTCTTTGGTGGTAAGCAAGGCCTGAACTGAGACAGAAGCTTTTCCCACATTCTAGGCATATATACGGCTTCTCACCTGTGTGAATTCTTTGATGGTAGGTAAGTCCTGAAATGTTAGTGAAGATCTTTCCACATTCAGAGCATTCATATGGTTTCTCCCCTGTGTGACTTCTCTGATGGGAGATAAGATTTCTACTACGACTAAAGCTCTTCCCACACTCTGAGCATGTATACGGTTTCTCTCCTGTATGGATTACGTGATGGGAAGTCAGGCCTGAGCGGTCACTGAAGCCTTTTCCACACTCAGAGCATTTATGTGGTTTTTCCCCTGTGTGAACTCTTTGATGGCCGGCGAGGTACTCTTTCTTCCTGAAACTTTTCCCACACTCTGAGCAGGTATATGGTTTCTCCCCTTTGTGGATTCCCTGATGGGAAGCAAGGTGGTCCTTCTTTCTGAAGCTTTTCCCGCACTCGGAGCAAATGTATGGTTTCTCCCCCTTGTGAATTCCTTGATGGGAAATAAGGTGGTCCTTCTTCCTGAAGCTCTTTCCACACTCTGAACAGGCGTATGGCTTTTCCCCAGAGTGAATTCTCAGATGGTAAGTAAGACGGTCTTTCTTTCTGAAGGTCTTTCCACACTCCAAGCAGGTATATATTTTTTCTCCATTCTTAATCATCTGGTGGTATGCAGGGTGGCTCTCCTTTCTGAAGCTCTTAACACACTCAGAGTTTCTTTGCAGATTTCCCTCTGTATGCAGTTTTTTGTGTAAAACAAAGTTTTGGCTCAGACTGGAGCTCTTCCTATGCCATTTCTCCCCATTTTCTATTCCGTCTTGTTGGCTGAGATTTAATGCGCCAATCAAGTCATTCGCACATTGAAGGAACTCAATCCTTTTCTTTCCTTCGTGGCTTTTTTCCTGAACTCGGATTCTGGTCAAGTTGACATCTTCAGAAGAAATGAATTCCATGCTCTGCTCCTGCATCCCTTCAGAGCCCCTCTCCTGCTGTTCTTCATGGCTCCATCTCTCCTTCTCTGTAAAAATAAAGAGAGACACCACATTAGAAGGAAATAGTGCCAGCCTTCAGGAAACAAACCCCGTTAACATTTGATGTAAATAACAGAGTGGCAGCGAGCCTTGGATGGGCCAGTTCCATCCCCCGATCTTTATGTTTTGTTTTTCATAATTAACACTTTATTGAACAATACAAACACAGCAGAATAAGTTCAAACAATGAGGTGCATGCAGGGGCCCAAAACTGGCTGGTCCTCCCAGTCCCCAAAGAACTCAGGCTGGTGATAACCAGGTTTTGACCATAAATTTATGTATGTTTTCCAAACAACACAACCCAAATAACAATTGGCAAAGATGTTTTACAAATAACTCAAGCCAATTAACAGTTGGCAAAGATGAAGATGTTTTACAAATAACACAAGCCAATTAACAGTTGGCAAAGATGGACGAACTCCCCTGGAGTTGAGACTCGTTTCGAGGCGTCTTTTTCAAACAAACAATCTCATACAGCTGTGCATCCACATGGTCATAAATCTTCCAGATAGGACTAATCTTGATTCCTGTACGTTTTGATGTTATTTACAATGTTCTAATACAAATCTTTAGGATGGGCTGATCAACCTTTCCTGTTTCACTCTTTGAGACTGTGTCTTTTTGTAATATTTTTGTATGAAGAATACTTTGGAGAAAGATGTTTTTTTGAATAATAACTTGTGCTTTGTACAGCGCTTGGAGCGGGTCCTTTATCGTGAGAGAACCCCCCAGGTGGGGCCGGGAGATCTCCCAGAATCACAACTGATCTCCAGATCAATTCCCCCGAACAAAATCGGCTCCTGTGAAGGGTAGACTCTATGATGCGATTATACCCCGCGGAAGTCCCACCCCTCCCCAAACCCTGCTGTTTGTAGACTCCACCTCCAAATATCCATGGGTTCCCCAACCCAGAGTTGGCAACCCAAAACAGTATCCCTGCAACAACAGCACCCCCAGTAACAGTGGACGTAACTCCTGCCTGAGAGAAAGGCCTACCTAGAGAAGCCACCAGTCCATAATTCTCCGCCATGACTTCCCTGTGCAGAGCTCTTTGGCCCGGATCCAGCAGTGCCCACTCCTCCTCCGAGAAATCCACAGCCACATCCTCAAAGGTGACCAGACCCTGGGGGGGTTGGGGAGAAAGATAGGTTCAGGAGGGTAGCCATGTTGGTCTGCAGTAAAAGAGCCAGATTCGAATCCAGAAGGACCTTAGAGACCATCAGATACAAACGGCAAAAGGAAACATTCTATATTAGCACGTAACATAAGAATACAAGAAGAGTCCTGCTGGATCAGACGAACAGTCCCTCCAGTCCAGCATCCTGTCTCACACAGTGGCCAAAAAAGAGAAAAGGGGGAAAAAAAACTGAACCTAAAACCTAGAATTCAGAACCTAAAAAGGTTAGTCAAGAATAGAAGAGGGCCAACTCTAAAAATCTAATTATGAAACATACAAAAATATACATGTATTTATTCAACACAAATTAAAATAACAAATAATTCATACCTCATATACAAATATAAAAGCATACAAAGGCTAATGAAATAGACCTAACGCGTTTCGGCCTTTACAGGCCTTCCTCAGAGGTCTAATACAAATAGAAACATGTTGGCTGATATGTAAAAATATATACAATCATACATGTACAAAATATAAAATAAAGACCAGAAAACAATTGTTCCAAAGTTTAACCACTGGGCAAAGAAAAGAAATACAAAAATACAAATGAAGCCTCCAGTGCAATCACATGTCCAGGAGTACTTCTCTCTGGTCAACTATATATTCTCCTGAGATTGTACAGCCAAATGTTCCCAATAAAATGTTCCTTAAGTTAAAAGCAGTGTTGATCAAAAAGTGGCCAACCAGTTTCTCTTAGGGTTGCCAGGTTTGGGTTGGAAAACACCTGGAGACTTTGGGGGTGGGTCCGGGAGAGGGCGGGGTTTGGGAAGGGGAGGGCCCTCAACAGGGTACAGTGCCATAAAGTCCACCCTTCAAAGCAGCCATTTTCTCCAGGGGAGCTGATCTCCATCAGCTGGGGATCAGCTGTAAAAGCGGGAGATCTCCAGGCCCCACCTGGAGGCTGGCAACCCTAGCTTCTCTGGAGTGCCAACAACAGGGCATAGAGGCTGAGGCCTTCATAAGAACATAAGAGGAGCCCTCCTGGATCTAGTCCAGCATCCTGTCTTACACAGTGACCAGCCAGTTCCTCTGGAGGGCCAACAACAGGGCAGAGAGGCTGAGGCCTTCATAAGAACATCAGAAGAGCCCTGCTGGATCAGATCAGTGGTCCATCTAGTCCAGCATCTTGTCTCACACAGTGGCCAACCAGTTCCTCTGGAGGGCCAACAACAGGGCATAGAGACCGAGGCCTTCATGAGAACATTAGAAGAGCCCTGCTGGATCAGATTGGTGGTCCATCTAGTCTAGCATCCAGTTCCTCTGGATGGCCAACGGAAGAAGAAGGAGGAGGAGATTGGATTCATACCCCACCCTTCACCACCCGAAGGAGAGCGGCTTACAATCTCCTTTCCCTTTCCCTCTCCACAACAGTCACCCTGTGAGGTAGGAGGGGCTGAGAGAGCTCTCGCGAGAACTGCCCTTGAGAGAACAGCTCTGAAACAACTTGTAAGTGACCCAAGGTCACACCAGCAGCTGCAATTGGAGGAGTGGGGAATCAAACCCAGTTCTCCCAGATTAGAGCCCACACTCCTAACCACTACACCATAGAGACCGAGGCCTTTCCCTGATGCTGTCTCCTGGCTGTGGAATTCAGGGGCTTAGTGCCTCTGAATGTGGAGGTTCCCCTCAGTCACCATGGCTAGTAGCCATTGATAGGCGTATCCGCAATGAATCTATCTAATCCGCTTTGAAAGCTGTGTATTCCTGTGGCCATCACTACATCCTCTGGCAGCAATTTCCACATTTTAATCATTCCCTGTATAAAGGTCTTTTGCGATATGAGGCAGTAAGGTGGTGGGGAATTCACTTGCTTCATCAAAAGCATGCAAAGCCTCCCTAATGGGCAAGCTTCGAGAGAACCAAGAGAAAAAAGATATTTTATTGCATTTCACTGGGCTATGGAGAAGATGAGATTGGATTTATACCCCGCCCTTCACTACCCAAAGGAGTCTCAGAGCGGCTTACAAACTCCTTTCCCTTCCCCTCCCCACAACAGACACCATGTGAGGTAGGTGGGGCTGAGAGAGCTCTGACAGAAACTGCTCTTTTTCAAGAACAGCTCTGACAGAACTATGGCTTGCCCAAGGTCATCCAGCAGGTGCAAGTGGAGGAGTGGGGAATCAAACCCGGTTCTCCTAGATTAGAGTCCGCACACTTAACCACTACACCAAACTGGCTCTCAAGAGAGAAGTTGGGGTTTGACTGTCTTAAATTACATACATAACATTGGGATGAGACATTGGGAAAGACAGAATATGAATATGTTGTTGAAGACTTTCACAGCAGGAGTTCATTAGTTGTTGTAGATTTTCCAGGCTGTATGTCTAAGATTTTGGCATTGTAGGACTTGACATTTCGCCAGAAGCTGTGACTGGAATCCTGGGAGGTATAAACACAGAAAGATGGAGTATTCTCTGTGTCAAGGTGAGAAGGAAAATGGTAGGTGGGTAATTTATATCTACTCAGGAAAGTGGGGTAGGGCTGTCAGATTACACAGGGAAGCCATTGAAATTCATAAACATAATTAATAAACATAAACATAATTTCAACAGGAAAGAAGAGAGTTTAAAAATAAATAGGGCATGGTTTCCAGTCCTTAAAAACACAGAATACTCTACATCTTACAACAGCACTACAGATAAGATTAGAATTTCAACAGCCAATCCATATGCAAAAGAACCTCCTCAGGAAAGCTCCTCCATTAGCATGTCACTGCCTGGGAAACTCCTACAAAATAATGACTCAGCCCTACCCCACCTTCCTGAGTAGATATAAATTACCTGCCTACCGTTTTTCTTCTCACCTTGACACAGAGAGTACTCCATCTTTCTGTGTCATACCTCTGAGGATGCCAGTCACAGCTGCTGGCGAAACGTCAGGTCCTACAATGCCAAGACCACAGCCATACAGCCCGGGAAATCTACAACTAAAGCAGGATATGAATGTTTCCATGAATAAATTCTATGAGACCCAGGGAGACACACAGAGGCAAAAGCACTCAAGATGTCCACAACCCTCCTTTGAAAAGATCTCTTTCCTACCTGGACTGATCGCTCTGAAGCAACATGAAGAGGCGAAGGCCCAGAATCACTTGCCATTGTCCTTCTACTACCTGTGAGGGAAACAAAGGAGATCAAAAGTCTGTTTATTCTGATAACCATCTAACCCAATTCCACATGTTGGTTCCTACCTATCAATCAAGCCCCAAATGGCCCAGGAAACACATGCCTAAGAGACCGCTTTCCCAGCATGCTCCTCCTTACTTGTTAAGATCACCTGGAGAGGCCTTGTTTCACATCCATCCATTCATCCTGTAAGATCTGCTTCTTTCAGGAAAAGTAAATGCTTGTTCAACGAAGAGTCATTAATACATGGAATTCACTGCCACAGGAAGTGGTGGCGGCTGCAAGCACAGACAGATTCAAGGAGGGATTGGATAACTATATAGAGCAGAGGTCCATGAGTGGCTATTAGCCACAAGGTATAGATCAGAATTCTCAGTCTGGGGCAAGTGCTGCACTGTATTCTTTGTGCTTGGGGGGGCATCAGTGGGAAGGCTTCTAGTGTCCTGGCCCCACTGTTGGACCTCCTGGTGGCACCTGGTATTTTTGGCCACTGTGTGACACACTGATGGATTTGATAGGCCATTGGCCGTATCCAACTTGGCTTCTCTTATGTTCTTATGTCTGGGGCAGTGATGCTCTGTCTTGTTGGTGTTTGGGGGGCAACAGCAGGAGGGCTTTTGAAGTTCTGGCCCCACTGGTAGTGAAGCTATTAGGTAAAGGTTTCCCTTGCTCAAAAGCCAGTCGAATCCGACTCTAGGGAGGCGGTGCTCATCTCCGTTTCAAAGCCGAAGAGCCAGCGCTGTCCGAAGACATTTCCCGTGGTCATGTGGCTGGCATGACTAAACACCAAGGCGCACAGAACACTGTTACCTTCCCACCAAAGCGGTACCTATTTATCTACTTGCAATTTCTTGCTTTTGAACTGCTAGGTTGCCAGGAGCCGGGACCAGAGCCAGGAGCTCACTCCGTCATGTGGCACTCGGGTCTCCGACTACCGAGCTACCAACCTTCCAGTCTGCAGCTCAGTGTCTTAACCTCTGAGACACCGCGGCCCTAGCATACAAGTACCTAATCCCAATATAAAGACAAATGAAGACAAATGTCCGTTTACGTAAATATAGGTTTAAAAGTATGAATGGACCAGACAGCAGAGCCGTCACATAGATTCACATACTCAAAGTGTGCTAATCCACAGCCCAGCATTAATCGGGGTGAGGGGGTTTGCGTGGACGGCTTCAAAAGGGAATTAGATGAGCATATGGAGCAGAGGTCCATCAGTGGCTATTAGCAACAAGGTATAGATAGGGACTCTGGGGCAAGTGAGGCTCTGTCATCTTGGTGCTTGGGGGGGGGGTCAACAGTGGGAGGGCTTCTAATGTCCTGGCCCCACTGGTGGACCTCCTGATGGCACTGGTATTTCTGGCCACTGTGGGATACAGAGTGTTGGACTGGATGGGCCTTTGGCCTGATCCAACATTGGCATCTCTTATGTTCTTATGTTCTTATGTGGGCTGCCACAATTTTCTGTGATGAGAGTTTTCAGCATTTTTATCAAGGAATTGGATGAAGGGATGGGGTGGTTGGTGGAAATCCTTATCAAATTCGCAAGGGACACCAATCTCGGAAGAACAGCTAACACCTTATAAGACAGAACAAAGTTGGAGTCCGGTGGCTTAACCTTGAATGAAACTTTGGTAGTCTTAAAGGTGCCAAACTGGACTCAAAACTTTTTCCTGCTGCTTCGGACCAACGCGCCAACCGGAATCTACCTTATAAGACAAGAAATAATATTCAAAACAGCATCAGTGGATTAGAAAGCCGGGCTGAAACTAATCAAACAAAATCCAATGGAGACAAATGGCAAAAAGAAGAACATAA